TAAAACTTCGCTAATATATCTGATCTATTATTGGACACACAACTGCCAAGTTTCATGAATCTAACTTTATTACTTTTCTAAATATTTAAAATAAGCTTTTGGACTTGTATGGGAGCCACTCGAACCTGTCAAGCAATTCCACCAAAACTTCAGAAATATCTTTGACCTATAATTGGACACACAACTGCCAAGTTTCATGAATCTGTCTTTATTACTTTTCCAAATATTTAAAATAAGCTTTTGGATTTGTATGGGAGCCACTCGAACCTGTCAAGCAATTCCACCAAAACTTCAGAAATATTTTTGACCTATAATTGGACACACAACTGCCAAGTTTCATGAATCTGTCTTTATTACTTTTCCAAATATTTAAAATAAGCTTTTGGACTTGTATGGGAGCCACTCGAACCTGTCAAGCAATTCCACCAAAACTTCAGAAATATCTTTGACCTATAATTGGACACACAACTGCCAAGTTTCATTAATCTGACTTTATTATTCTTCAAATATTTAAAATAAGCTTTTAGACTTGTATGGGAGCTACTCGAACCTGTCAAGCAATTCCATCAAAACTTCAGAAATATATTTGACCTATATTCGGACACACGACTGCCAAGTTTCATGAATCTGACTTTATTATTTTGCCGAATATTTAAAATTAGCTTCTGGAGTTGTATGGCAGGTACCCGAACCTGTCAAGCAATTCCATCAAAACTTCAGAAATATATTTGACCTATAATTGGACACACGACTGCCAAGTTTCATGAATCTGACTTTATTATTTTGCCGAATATAAAAAATTTGCTTTTGGAGTTGTATGGCAGCTACCCGAACCCGTTGTCCGAATTGGTCCAATAACAATAGGGTTCGTCCTTGGCACAAAAGAAGCAACTTGTGAAAGTTTGGTGTCGATTGCATTATTCGTTTTTGAGTTATCGTGCGATCGGACGGACGGACGGACGGACGGACGGACGGACGGACGGACGGACGGACGGACGGACGGACATGTCTAAATCAACGCAGAATTTTACGCTGAGCAAGAATATATATATATGTCCATACCCCAGATGACTCCTTCAAGTAGTTACAAACTCCATACCAAAGTTAATATACCCTTCACGAAGTGCAGGGTATAAAAATGATATTTTTGTTCTATTTTGCAAAAGAAATAATAAAAATCGAATTATTATTGAAATCGATTCTAGAAACTTGCATGAACTTTATGAAATCAAATTAAATACCTATATACCATTTTGTATAGATTCTACATTCTAATGTTATACAATATACTATTGTGAATGTAGTAACATATAATGGCGAGTAAAATCAACTCAAAATAATAATTGTACACACAATAATTAAATTATGTTATAAAAGCTGTATATGAAATCATAAGAATGAAATAAGAAAAAATAAAATTAAAATATTCAACTGAGTACTTGCTTAACATTATTCTTATAGTCTTAAATCTATATACTCTTGTAAACAGTAAAGAATATTGCACGATAATGTCGATAACATTATTGATAATAATAATTATTATTCTTTAGTATAATAATATTAGGAGACAAAAAATAAAAGAAAAAAGAGAAATAAAAATTTTTGTCTCACCATACTTGCATTGCAGTAAACGAACATCACATTGTATTTAATTGCATTCTATTTTTAAATACATTGATTATAACTGGTATGCTATTGCTTTAATAAAAGAGTATACAACATTCAACTTTATTATTTTGATCAAAATGTATAACGGTAGTTTGAGAATTAAATAGAGAAAGAATTAGTTTTTATACGGTGACTATATTAAATACAAAAAAATTTTATTTAATTAATATAGTGTTGCTACGAGAGTCAAATATAAATTCGTGAGCAAATTGTAAGTTAATAATAATTTACTTAGTTTGCTTAGTTTGAGGGAGGAAGTGGCATCTTTAAATTTTACCATGCAGCACTATACCAATAAAGTGTTTCAAAATTTGTATAACAATATTTTAATTTACGAATTTATAGTACAGAATACAGTATATAAATACAGTACATTTTAGTAACAAGAAAGCAACGTTTTAAAAGACTGTGTGTCAAAATTTTTACTATCATGTGAGAACTTAACATGACAAGATAGACACATGATATATTTACCTTTCTTAACCCCCCCACTACCACTCGAAATTCGTAAAATTTATATTTTACAACTTATATTTGCGAAACTGAAAGCTTTTCCAAATTATTAAAAATGCAAAAAGGTAGTGGTAAATTCCATGCCATTAAAAAGTATAATTACTTTTCTTAACTCACGCAATTAAACCTTAAATTCGAGAATTATTTTAACGCCTCTTTTAATTTGTTTTGCTGATTCATCCTAAATGTATGCAATTTTTTAATTTTTTCGTATATGAACGCAAGCAATTTTAATGAAGTAGTACATTGTTAGATTGTTATTAAAATTAGTATTTTCACTTCTTGAAGGGAAAAGTGCTACTTTGCAAATCATTGGTTTGACCCAACTTTATTATTTTTATGAAACTGTATTATGTACTCGTATATTACATAATTTTCTGTGGAAAATCCTCATATGTATGTGTACAAAATTATAAAGTTAACAACATGGTACAAAATAAAAATAGAAAGTTCTTGTTCACATTAATTTTAAGGTCAATTACATTTAAATTAAAAAAAAAATTGTATTTTTTTTTTTTTTTTGAAATGCACATGAAGTTTATATTTTTTTTTACAATTTTTGTAAAGTTTAAGCTAGCTATTTATAATTTAAATATGGAATGTATACAGAAAACTTATGCACTTATGCAAATCTAAGGTTTTTAATTTAAAATCAATTGAGCTTATAAAAATTCTAAATAATAATAATAATAATAATGAAATTATATGAAAGAAAAAGTTAAAAAAAGAAAATTTAATTGGAAATAGAAAATAAATTTATTTGAATTGATTAATTTACGTTTCAATAAAAATTTAAGAGATTATGAATTGAAAAATTGTTATACAAATTATTATATGTAATGTAGGTGAGAGGTTTTTGTTATTAGGGTCAGAGTTCTATATATAACTGCGCTATTATATGGATTTGATTATTAAAATAACAATATTCAATTAATTACTGAACACGAATTTTAATTTATAATATTGGTGCTGCAATACTACTACCCGTTTTCAGCAGTTCTAACAGTTTTACAAGCTTAAATTTGTAGTAATTATTAAATTGCTAATTATTGTAAGTAATTAATAGTTATTTATTAGATTGTCGCCCATACTGCTCAATAATAACGAGATTCTTTTATCTCTTTCGTCCACATACCTATATGCATAAGAATTTCTGAAAATTTTGAAGAGGCAGTTAAAACGCGTAACGATGGTGAAGTGCACAGATATGTTAAGTAGCAAAATACGTTTTTTTAACACTGATAATAGTTTCAAGCGGCTCTCTTTCAATGGTATAGGTTTTAGTGACGTACATTTATTAGTTTTCGAAATCTGCGCGGTACAAATAGCTAACAAGGTCGAAGTAGCGAAACAAAGGCTTAGTGCTTTCTTAGAATGTCTGTAATTACAAAAATTGATATAATGATGAAACACAAATAATATGGTAAGCACATTAGTTTGATATTAGCACTATAGACCATTGCTATGCCCAGTACGAACGATATCTTGTGCAAAAACTTAAATTTTATTAAAAAAACTCATTTGAAATCAAAAACTAATTTAAGCAATTTAAGATCCCACATGTGAAACATATGCTAGTTACATTTTTTGATAGCTGGGTCGAAAGGTTTAAAATCACAGACAAACCAGTTGTAGAATATTACAATATTATTTGATTTTAAAATTTCTTAAATTAAATAGATTAAAATGTTTTAGTTAAACTGTTATAATTAACTTGGTTTTGCTCAATAATTTTGTTATAAAATATTTTAAATATTTTATAAGGAAAACTTTGCAATTTATGCCTATTTTTCGCTTTTAAAATTTTTAATCAAGTTTTTATTAAACTTTAAACTATAAGAAAAGAAAAAAATTTCCTTAAGATTTTTTTTTTTTTTTTTTTTTGAATAATATTTATGATCGTTGAATTCCAATTAACTTTTAAAAATCATAGGAAAAACGTGAGATGTTTTCATGATAGAATAAAAATCAACCTTTACACAAAAAGAGAGAAAATGAAAAACTTTGTTGAGAAAAACTTAAATTCCTTTTTCTAGATTTGATTTTTCTATTCGAAGAACGCTAAAAAAATTGTAAAAGTATTTAAAAAATAGAGAAAAAAATTTTAAAACTTTTAAAAAAACATTCTGCAATCTTGAAAATAATGTTGGTGTATTTGCAAAAAAGAAAATCTTAAATACTTGATGAATTCTTGTTTAAAATTTACAAAAAAAGCAATTCGAAATAGTTTTAAAATTAAAAGTTTTCACGTGATTAGTTTAGAAAACAACCACCTGTATTATAACAGTTTAAGAAAATTTATGAAAAAAATTTTGTCATTATAGTAATTGGCTGTGGTACAAATTTTGATTATGTAAAATATTGTGTTTAAATGAGGACCCTATACGTATATACTGTCGTCCATGGATTAAATATTGTTGTTGTATAACAGTATTATAACAGTATCATTATTAATGTAACAGTACTATGATTGTGCATTTGTAAGATAAACCTAAGCAAGTATATTCCAAAAAATTTGAAGTAAACAGGGTAATCGAAAATTGACGCGGTCACTGTCGTAGTGGTAATAATTTTTAGTTACTGTCCGGGGGAGATGTTGCTCTTCATAAAAGATGTACTGCTCTTCATAAAATTCATTCTTTGTTGAAATTTATATTTTATTATATTTTTATTTATAACAATAATCCGTATATATCGGAATTCTTACATATATAAACTTCCATTTTGTAGCTTAAGGGGTTGCAGAGTGAAAAATAACAATTTTTTAAATATGTTTTAGTTTCTTATGTACTAAAATTAAATTACATGTTAAATTTCAGTTTATTTAGTACTCCATTTGAAAAGTATTCTTTGATTTCTGATGATCGTATCAGTGAGTCAGCGACAAAAATTGACGTTTTTAAGCTGCAATTAAAACTTGGAGTATAACAGTTTCACAATTAAAATTGAATTAATTATAAATTGGCATCATACCCTTAACATTTTGTTTACTTGATGTAATTCGAACACAATTTATCCTTGGATTTCTGATGATCATGTCAGTGAATCGCTGATAAAATTGAGAATTTTAAATTTTCAAAAAAATATAAAGTATAACAGTTTTACGATTGAAATTGGGTTCATTATAAATTCAAAAATTCACTAAAAATTTTAAAAGAAACTAAGAAGCGCTTTAGGAAAGATGTTTAGTTCTCTTGTATTTCGCTTTCGTATGGCTCATCTTGGTAATTTTCTATGTTTTTGGACTAACTTACGGTTTTGACAAAAAATATATCGAAACTCGTTTTCTATGATTAACTGAATGAAAAAAAGTTTTTCTTCTTAACCTGTTATCAAATATTGAACTTGTTAAATTTAAAATTGCCCTCACTATATCGTTAAACACAATATATGAGGGCCACTTTAATATTTTTGTAATTTTTATTAAAATTTAAGGTCCAATTAAGTTTATACTTTAATATTTTCAAAGGAGATGTTTTAATTCAATAGTTAGGAAGGGTAGGGCAGTGGAGGGGTCCTATTACTTTTATAATAACATTTTATTAATAATATTTACATAACCATTTTAATATTTTAACATTTTAAGTGGATTTTTGCAATCCAATTACATTCAATTTTACAAAAATATTTCAAATATTCATTAAAAAATTTTTCCTTTATTTTCAAAGTAATTTTAAAGGAATTTCAAGTGTTTTTATTTAATATTTTATTTCTTTTATTTTACTGTGACAATTATGTAAAAAAAAATTCATTACATACACAAAATAAGGTTATAAATCAAAATAAAATGTTATTTAATTATTAAATGACATTTTTGACCTCCCTTGCAATTTAGCAATAAATTTTAAATTCGGAAAACATAAAGCGTTCTTATATAAGTATAAATGTGCATGTATATAGTATTTTAAATATTTCTTTAATTACACTTTAATTAAATCAAAATAAAATTAAATTATTTATTAAAAAAATAAGAGTTACAAGCATATAAAAAAAAAATTTACCCCGGTAATGGATTAATCGAGATATACAAGTGAAATAACCTAGGGTTATTCTGAGCGATTCTAGGAATTATTATGAAAAATAAGCGAGAACATTGTCAGGCAAATGTTTTTATAAGAAAAGGATTGTCTACTCATAGAAAATGTTGGTAATTCAACGCTATTTGATAGTGTTGAATTATAAAATTTTCTATAAAACGCAACGATAATTAACAATAGTGTTTAATTATCAAAACCCTGTGAGACCGGGATATTACAAAAAATATTTAAGAAAATTTTATACAACATTAAAATCGGAATAATTAATCGGAATCATTTGTTCCTTAAATAAATTCCTCTATCGTATCATTGCTTAAGTAAGTTCTTTCTAAATCGGCTCTTTACAGTATAATATTTCGCTTATACATACACATTAGAATTATTTATCTGAGCTCATTATGGTCGACGTCTCCTGCTTACCTGAGCTTCGAGTTTTCCAATGTGGTGGCAAAGTGTGGCAATGAGAGCAATAAATCTCTTCTCGTCTCTGCGAACTGCCTGAGTTTACCGAAAAAGGTGATAAAATTTTCTGAAATGAAAGAAAACTCAGTTGTTTCTTTGGCTGAAACATGAACTTACCCTCTGTCTAACATTCGGAGACCTGATTTTCGTAAATTTCTTTAAACAAAAATTATTGATCTCACCGAGACTTGTGAATTTTATCACCACAATTGCCTACTTTCAATTTTAAATAAGTGTTATACTAGACTTAAAACCGTTATTTTCGATATGACTTTCGAATGTACAGGATTTTTAATTTTTATTTAAAGCCATCGCAAGTTTGCCTTAACAATCTCTTGAAGTTTCAACGAGGATAACAGTGTAAGAGTGCATGAATGACAAATACACAGCGACACCTATACAAATTGTTTTTACAAATCTTATAATAATAATAATAAAGGTATTATAAATGTACCAGAAATTTAGAATTATAATACTATTTATTTATATCGGGATAAAAATTTACCGATTGATTTCAATTAAAAACACAAAAAAAAATTAATTTCATTTGATCATAAATGGTATTTTTACTAACTAGTTAAACAACTTGACGATCAATTAATATTTTTAATATTTAATCAAAAAAAAAAATAACTTTAAATTTAATTTTAGCATAAAATATCACTTAACCTCTCATAAATCATTCTAATATTTTTTTTGCTATATTTTATATTTGAGTATATTTGGAGTAGATTGAAAAATAATTTAAAAAAAAAACAAGAACTTTATTTTTTGTAGGGCATTTTTTTTCTTCACATTTTCCAAATTAAATTGTGTAGCATTTTTAAAATTAATGATTGCTTACAATTATAATTTCTGGCAGTGAGCAGCATGCACTGTCTATAAATTGCGCTTGTTGGTGAATAATTTTATAACAAATTCGAACTAGTAGTTTCTATTGGCTTAGTTCTTCTCCTTAAGGCCATAAATTTGAACAAATTCTAAAGTAAATGAATGCGCAGTATACTCAAATTACCACTGTGTAATTACTTCTAAGGTAAGATGAGCCATCACTTTGTGTAGCAGGACATTAAATAATCACTTTTAGTGGAGCACTAGCGGACAAGTAAAAATTATTATTATTTTGTTCCAGAATTTCTTAAAAAAAATTTTATTTTCCGTACTCGTAAATTTGATTTTTTAAAAACCATAAATTTTTCTACTACCTTGTAAATTTTTTTTTTCTCATTATTCTCTTATTTTGTTTTTATTTATCTTCTCAAATTTAATTAAAATTTAATTTGACAACATTTTACATTAATTTCAATAATATCATACATAAACAGAATTAAAGAGAGTAATAGATATACTAAAGTATAAAGAGTATTATAAAAATTATGTTGCATTAAAAAAAATATAATATTCAACATTTCAAATTTTGTTATACAAAACTATTGATTTGTTATACATTGTATAGATATCCATTTACTTACTATATACATAATGCATCTGGCAACATACTTTGTTTACATATTCTCATATTACCGTCAAATACCATTTACTCATATTACCGTCTTCTACTACTATGCTGTGTTGTGCATTGTACCTAACCTATGAATAATATCAAAATATTCATTATTTTAGTATATCTAGTTAAGTGAACCTATATAACATAGCGTAATGTATAAGTAAGGCATACTATGCAACTGAGTATACGTTTTATTAATATGTCAGCGCATATAAATCAATAACTTAATAAGATTAAGTTTACCTTTTTCATACAAAATAGCATATTAAGTATAAATGTTAAAATTATTAAAAAAAAAAAAAATCGTTAAGAATAATAGTTATAAATATATCATTAAAGTTAATAGTGTAATAAAAAATGAGAAACTAGGCCAATCAAAGAACGAAAAAAAAAAAAGAAACAAGTAAGAAACTATTAAAAATTTTATTTTTTTTCTTTTTTAAATGTAATGTAAGGTTTTTTAATATTGATATGCTCCGAGTTATAGACATTTTTGCTGGTACCTATATGAAAACATATCGCACCTTAGGTGCATAAAACATTTTGTAGGTAGCTAAAAATATTGTTTACAATATTTTTTATCGATAACGTTATATAAAAATAAGAGAAGTATTGTGATAACATTAAGAAATGCATGAAGCTTTCCGCATGAATTTTAGGGAAATACCCTTATTATAATGCTCAGAAATGGTTGCGTTGAAGTTTTGTATCTGAAAATTATTACATTTTCTCATAAATCGCTCCATTTAACTCTTCTAAAATATTGTTGAAGGCGAAAATTTTTAAAGAATAAAATGTAAAAGCCAAATACCATGCACAACTACCTGAATTTAGTAAAATTGAAGCCGCAATCGAGACCTTTCCAATGAGTCTTTTTCCAGGTCACTATGACGTGTTCTAGTGCAGAAATTAATAAAGTTTTATGGAGTACGACCCTTAAATAGGTAGCAGATATTCCGTTTTGTAATGTTTTGGTTAATCTTAACCTGTCACTTCCAAGATGGAGACGTTTTCAAGATGGGAGGAATAAAAGAAAAAATAATAAATTGTCATCGAGATTTTTCCGATGAGCCCATTCCCAGTTCGCTACGTCATCTGAGAGCTCAATCATTGGAGTTTTAAAATTTTCATGATAAGCAAGGCAACATAATTTGATGTAGAGCAAGGCAATATTCAAATGTAATTAATAAAGGGGTATTTAAAAAAGTATTTAAAAAATGCTTGCCTGCCTGTACATTCCGGGATCCGTTTTGTGTTAAATTAATTTAAGTGGAAATTTATGTGTGAGTTTAGCTTGTAAATGCGACAGATTGATTAGATTTTGTAATAGACCAGGTTCCATTAGCTTTTGTAAAAAGACCACATGTTCTTTACCAGGTATCTGTTTTGTTTGGATATTTTATGCAAATAGTAATAGTAACTGCTTGGATTACTGAGACAAGGTACAAAACAGATGTTTTGGAGGAATTTAATCGTTGCCACAGGTCGTTTGCCATACAGTTTGACTCTATGTCAGACAAAAATCCTGGAGTTTTTTTGAATTCTTATGAACAATCCAAATTTTTTAAGAGATAATGTGAGTAATTTCCGTTGTTTTTGAAATGTCAGTAGCTTCGTGTAGTTTTTGAACATTTTGTGTACGTCCAAATGAATTTTGCAAAACATACCGTTCGATTATGTGCCGTTTATACCAGCCTTTTTTTCTTTGTTCTTCATATATCAACTTTATTATTATCAATATCCTAGCATGTACTAGCTGAGTTTAAGTATTAATTTTTATGCGATATTTATGTACTCACATAAAAATTACATAGTCTTAACATCTTAAAGTCATAATAAAGTTTATTATTATTACTTTTTTTTTAT